AAAGGTGGCACAAGCCACATGAGGTCACACGGTGAGCTGGCACAGAGATGAGGGCCACCGCCCATGGCTGTGTCTGCAGCCCTGTGTGGCCTCTATCTGGGTCTCCAGCTAGGGCCTCTCTAGACCCCAGGCCCCAACACCGCCATCCTGGGGGCAGTAACTGAGTCCCCTTCTCCGCAGCTGCGTGGAAATGCTGATCAAAGAACAGATGAGGAAGTACAAGGTGAAGATGGAGGAGATTAACCAGCTGGAAGCTGCGGAGAGCATCGCCTTCCGCAGGCTCTCCCTCCTGCGACAGAACGCTGTAAGCACGCTGGGTGGGGCGTGGTCAGGGGCCTGGCTGGGGCGGTGGGGCGAGGTCTCACTTTTCCACCCCTTGAGCTCCCAGCCCACCCTTGGCCACAAGCCTTCCTGCCAGGGGCCTCATGGGAGCACGGTTGGGGGCCAGTTCCCCCACTCAGCTCAATGACCGCCTTCTTCGCTCAGCCTCTTGCCAACCAGCCCTCAAAGGGCAGCAGGGGACCTGTCATCCACTTGGTGATGTTCACATCATCCTCCACCCACACCTCCAGGGAAAGTGGCCATACGGTGGGGGTGGGGGCTTGGGGAGGCAAGTCCTGGTTCCCCTGGGAGGGCCCTGTCCTTATCCCTACAGTCAGATGTGGCTTGGTGCCCGTGACATGCCTGGGTGGTGGTCATGGCCCTGGGTGGTTACCCTCTGTTCGTCTCTTCCCCAGCCATGGCCTCTCAAACTGGGGTTCTCGTCTCCCTATGAGGGGGTCCTGGTATGTACATGTTCCGTGGGCCCACCCTGCATGACTCCGGGTGCGGTGCATGCTGGGTTCCCTCCGTGCCCATGGTCTCATAGGATAGACCGAGCACGTGCTAACCTTCTGGAAGTGCATGCTGGGGGAGGCCCACTGCTGCTGACCACCTGTGCGGAGGATGACTAATCAGCTGAGCACCAGCCACGCGGCCCCCATGTGATCCTTGGAACAGCCTCACTAAATCCACCTTCCACATCAGAACTAACCTCTCCCAGAGCTGTTCACACCCGACTCTCCCCTCCTGAGAGCACCGGCCCCACCCACCCGGAGGGGCCAGCCAGACCTGCCACTTCTCTGTTGTAGATCAAGAGCCCCAAGGCCCGAGGAAGCAGTGCTGGCAGCCTGGAGGAGCTGGGGGTGCTGCCAGAAGAAGAAGTGCCCAGCGGTGATGAGGACCGTGAGAAGGAGATCCTCATTGAGCGGATCCAGTCCATCAAAGAGGAGAAGCAAGTGTCTCTGCCCCCTTTCTGCCCTCAGCTGTGCCATCTAGCCCCCATCCCCAGGCCCCTCTGCAGAGCAGACCTGGCTGTTAGGAGGCTGACGGGCTAGATTCCTTCCCGTCATCCAGTACCTCCCTCATGGGGTGCTACTGTCCTAAAATGCAGCCTAGGGCTCTGTTTAAACCCCATGCTTGACCATGGGAAGCCACGTGGTCCACAGGGAAAGAAGGGGCAGCAGAGGGATAATGCCCAAACTTTGTCTTAAAGTTGGTCTTAACTAGGGTAAACAACGAATCTGTCATCTGGTCAAGATGTGACTGTGAGTAGGGCTGCCACTAACATTATGCCAGTAGAACAGGTGTGACCTGGGCCACCTGGCCACCCCAGTCCTAGGAACAGGGTAGAGGACTCCCTCCGGGCAGAGGGAATAGCACTTGCAAAGGCCCTGAGGCAAAAACATATCACTAGCTGAGTATAGGGCGAGGTGGATGGCTTCCCTCAGCAGCCTGACACATTGCTCCTCGGAGTTTCTCTGGGCCAGATGTGATTTGGGGATGGGTACTAAGGGCAGGGCCTCCCACCCAGGACCAGGAAGTTCCTATTCTTTCCCCTGCTGGCCCCGCACTATTGTTGGGTGGTCTTTGACCTTGGGAACAGCCTTGGACACCGTGACACCCTCCCCCTACCCCCAGGGAGGACATCACCTATCGGCTGCCGGAGCTGGACCCTCGGGGCTCCGATGAGGAAAACCTGGACTCTGAAACGTCAGCCAGCACTGAGAGCCTGTTGGAAGAGCGGGCCGGGCGGGGGGCCTCCGAAGGTCAGTATTAAGGCAGCGTCTGCTTTGCTCCTTCCCATGTTCACCACCGGCAGGCCCTGGGGCAAGGGTCCGTCTCCTGGCCCCGAAGCTGCAGTAACCCTGCCGTCTGTCTCTCAAAAGGGCCCCCCGCGCCTGCTCTCCCCAGCCCCGGCGCGCCTGCCCTGAGCCCCCTCCCCGTGGCAGCCGCCCCTCCACGACGAAGGCCGTCGTCCTTCGTGACGGTCAGAGTGAAGACCCCCGGCGGACCCCCATCATGCCCACAACCAACATCAAGCTCCCACCCGGCCTGCCCTCCCACCTCCCTGGCCGGGCACCGGGTGCCCAGGAGGCTGCTGCCCCAGTGAGGCGCCGAGAGCCGCCTGCCCGCCGCCCGGACCAGGTACACTCTGTGTATATCACACCCAGCACTCACCTGCCCGTGCAGGGCATCCGGGAGCCCCTGGATGAGGACAGCCGGCTTCCTGGGGCCAAGCGGAGGTACTCAGATCCCCCAACCTACTGCCTGCCCCCCACTTCGGGCCAGGCCAATGGCTGAGGACCACCCAGTGCCAGAGCTGGTCACTGAGCTGAAGAGCCAGCATCTGGCTGAGAAGGATCCCAAATGAAAAACTCCAAGACAATGTGAGGTGGGCACTAGCCCCAATTGCAGAGTCCTAAGCAGGGAGAGGCCACCCAAGGCTCAGCCTACCCACATCATATAGATGCGCCCACTCAGATCACCAAATCATGGTGGGCAGCCTGGCATTGGCATCCCCCACCTCTTTTTTTGTTTTTATGGTAACTGTTTCTTTGTGCGCGGTTTACATAACTTTAAACTGTTAACAGCCTTAACCAGAGACCAAATTGTTTTTTATACATGTATGTACAAACTTTTATATTAACGCCCTGCATCTCCCTTATAACCCGGACATGAGTCTTCAGAGCAAAGCCTGCACAGCTGCCACATGTCAGAGGCCCGGACCTGCACGAGGACGGCTTGGGGCCCAGGGTCTGAGGGCCAGGACCTTGCCCAAGGGATCTGGACACTTGGGGCACATGACTGCCCCCAAGTCTTTCTCAGACTCATCCTCTGCCCGGCTGGCAGCCACCTGGCTGGCATGCCTTGGAAGGAGTATTGGGGCCCCTCTGGGGTTCAAGGCTGGTGACTGGAGTCAGGACACAAGGTGGTAGGCAGCCTCCACCTGCAGCACCACAGACCTCACATCCGAGGGACACTTGAATGTGGCCATCACTCTTCTGTCCACCATGCCCTGGACTCAGGAGGCTGGAGGAGGCCGCCCTCGGCACACTGCCCACTCCACGTGGCAAACAGGAGCCGCGACTCAGGACCACTCACAGGCAGGGAGGGCAAGGTTGTACATTCCTACTGGACAACAGTGACAGCCTGGGGCTCTCCGGAGTTGGGCTTCCCCTCTCTTAGGCTTGGCTCACTCCCCAGACACATGGCCACAGGTCTGGGATGAGAGGTGGGTGCCCCGGGTGCCCCGCAAGCCGTGCAAAATAAAAAGTGCCTAAAAGGTATTTGTGTGCAGTTCCTCTCAGACTGGTTCAGAGTCAGTTGTGGGAGGAGGGGCTGGCAGGTGGGGGGGGGTCCACCCTGTGGCCTCAGCCAAGACAGATGCAGGGCAAGGGGCTATGTCCCTTGTCTGGGAGGACCTGCCTTGACACCCCCCGCCCCCAGCAAACACTGCTGTTGGAATTTCACATTACTCCTCACTCTGGAGTGGTGTGCTTCCTGGAGGTGCTTATTTATTAATCTGGAAATGGGGCCAGGGGTGGGGGTGGGGGGACTGCCTCCTGTTGCCATGTTTTAGCACCCACCCTATCCCTACTTAAGACTTAAATGTCAGCTAAAAGGGTCATCTCATTATGAAGAGATCAGTTCCCATTGGACCCCCAAAGCCAGAAGGTACACACCCCATCCCCACCCCCACCATCCCCTCTCAGACCAACTCCCAGTCTGCAATAAGATGGGCAGCTGTGGGAACTTGCTGGCAGGTGGGGCCCATGGGGCTGGCGGGGGGTGGACAGTGAAGAACCCTAGTCCATGTGACACACGAGAAAGAGCTGGGAGGCTTGTCCGAGGCCACATATTTGGGATGGGGCAGGGCTGGGATTCAGAGCCTGCCCCAGCTGCCTCTAGTGCCCTATTTCATTCACCCTGGGTTTAGTCTCCTACATAGTATTTTGCGAGGACACCAAGCCCACTGGTGTGACCAGGACACAGGTGACGTCAGGGGTGGAAGATGGATGAGTGCTGCGTGCCAGCCAAGCTCCAGTACCTCTGACGTTCCAATCCCTACCCTGCCCTCCGCAGGCCAAGGGGTGCAGGGAGGTCACAGGATGGGCCTTGACTGCCTGAGGACCCAGGTGGGGTTCTTTCCATGGGGGTCTGACTGTCCCACCTCTCACCCCGAGAGCTAATGTCCCCCCTTGAGGCAGGCTTTGTCACACTGTGCCTTTCCCAAAGAAGGAACCGGGCCCAGAAAATAAACTTCCTCAGGGCCACTGCGGTGGGGGGGATGGAGTCGGTGTCAGGGCCGGAAGCTCATAACCGTAAACTCTGGATGGGCCCCTAAGCCTCGGATTCCTGCATCCCAGGCCCGTACCCAGGCAAGAACCGGGTAGGGCTGCCGGGGTACGGAAGAGCTCGGCGTGCGAAGAACCGAGCAGGAGACGGCGTGAGGGACGAATGGACCGGGTCCGTCTAACCCCTCCGGACGGGTTAAGACGCTTGAGAGGGAAAAAACGCCATTTAGTCTCGAGTAGATACGGACAGTACAGCGCCTCTCCCTAAAACAACACATTAGTCCCCCCCGCCCCCAAAAAACACGTTAGTTCCGCCCCCAAGACGAAACAGCGAACGAGTGGCGGACGCGCCCGGAAGAGGCCCAAAGAGGGCACTTCCGCCCTTCTCCAAGATGGCGCCGGCGGAAGGGGCAGGGTACGGCCGGGAGATGATGGCAGCGTCGAGGCTGGAGCTGAACCTAGTGCGGTTGCTGTGCCGCTGCGAGGCGATGGCAGCGGAGAAGCGGGACCCGGAAGAGTGGCGTCTGGAGAAGGTGAGGGAAATCTGCACTGTCAAGTGGAGCTTGACTTCCGGGGGGTGGCCTCCGCGGTAGCGGCCACCGGGCCCCGCTCCCCCGGCCCAACAACCGCTCTGGCCACGCCCCTTCCGGTCGGTCCGCCACGTCCACCTGCAGCGCCTGCCCCATTCCCTAGGGTTCATCTGGCCCCGCCCCCTTGACGCGTGTCTCCTCCCCTTTCGGCCCCGCCCCCATCCTGGCCCCGCCCCTTGTTGGCCCTGACAACACTCCACCATTCCCCCTTTGGGCAGGAGAGGGAGGAGTGGAAGGGTATGGGGGACCAGGCTGACACCCCCACTTTCCCTTCCCAGTACGTGGGAGCCCTTGAGGACATGCTGCAGGCCCTGAAAGCCCAAGCAAGGTGAGTGCAGGTGGCTACAGGGGCTTCAAATCTGGGATGGGAATCAGGGCCAGGGCCAGCTCCTGTTGGGGAATCCCTGGGCCCCAGCCCCTGCCGAGATCCTTCCGGGAACTAGAGACAGTGGGCAGGTTTTCTTTTTCCTCTTCTCACCTTCCAGCAAACCAGCCTCTGAGGTGATCAATGAATATTCCCGCAAGGTGGATTTCCTGAAGGGGATGCTGCAGGCAGAGAAGCTGGTGAGCAGGGGTGCTCTACTTCCTCAGCCCTCATCACACTCACCTGCCCTGGACCTGCCCCTCCGGTGACCCCTCTTCCCCCTTCTGCAGACCTCTGCCTCAGAGAAGGCACTAGCCAACCAGTTCCTGGCCCCTGGCCGCGTACCAACCACAGCCAGGGAGCGGGTGCCTGCCACGAAGACGGTGCACCTGCAGTCACGGGCACGATACACTAGCGAAATGAGGAATGAGCTGCTAGGCACGGTAGGGCTGCCTTCCTCCCTGGTCCCTGGGAACCCTCTGGTCAGGGACAGTTTAGTGCCTGGGTGTGGCCAGAACAACAAATGCTGGTAGGCATAGGGACCCTAGGGAGCCCAACAGCCTCTGCCCTGGGCCATCAAGAAAGGCCGAGCCAGGACTTTGCTAGATAGATAGGAGTTTGGTCCGAGGCAAAAATGGCACCTGTCTAGTTGGCACCCCAGAGTTGGCCCAGAGCATCAGATGAGTTTGCCACAGTTACATGACTTTATCTCATCTTGCCACAAATAGACAAGTTTTTCCATCTGCAAAATAGGACGGCAAGTATCTTTTTGAGCCTTTTATGTGGATCAGCTAAACCCTTCAAAATATGAAGAAACTGAGATCCTGAGGTCATGGGAATTGCCGGCGGGGTTGTGGGGGCGGAGTCTGAGAGCAGAAAGGATAGTTTGGGGTGCAGGACAAGGCAGGTGACTTCATGGCTCTCTCTTTTTCCCATAGGATTCTGCTGGAGGTGAGTCACCCTGAGTAAAACAGGACTTGAGGCTTAATTGTCACGCTGCCTCACATCCTGCGCCTGGCTCCCCTGGGGTCTCCCACAGCCCAGGGAGTGTAGCCCCAGGGGCGTCACCTAGGTGTGCCTGATGGGGATGCCAGGACAGAGGAGCTGGCCCCCAGAGGGAAGAAAACTGGATACCCCCAGGCCGCAGGGCCAAGGGTAAGCCAACAGAGGGGGCCTGGGGCCTGGGGGAGCCCAGATAGGAGTGAGGGAAACTGCTTAGAAGAGAGGACTTTTGAGCTAGAGCTTTGAAGCATGATCAGGAGCTCACTGGGAAGCAGATAAGACAGGAAACGACATGATGAGTAGCAGACACATCACAAGCAACCATCAGGAAGCTGGGAAACAGGAAACCAATCTTCTCCTTCTTCCTGCTTGGCCTTTTTTGCTTCCAGAGCCCAAGCTGGATGTGAGGAAGAGAACGTGAGTGTCTTCAGCCCTTGGGGGGGGGGGGGCATGGGGATGGGGAGGGTGGGGCGGGATGAACCTGGGACCACTGAGGCACCAAACCATGAAGGCCCCCACAAGCATCTAAATCACTGATCAGAAGCCACTTCTGGGGATGCTCTTCCAAAAAGCCAAAGTGAAGAAGGGGAAACGGAATCCTACGCAGGGCAGGGGCTGGAGCCATAACCTCTGGGCTCCCTGGGAATGTGTTGGTCTCTTCCCACTCCTCCACCCTGTCTCCTGCCCACCCGTCCACCTCTGTGTGAGGTCAGCGGGGTGGCAGGGCCCAGATCAGGGGATGAGAAACAATCAGCAGCCGAGCTAGACGTCGTCCTGCAGCGGCATCAGGACCTCCAGGAGAAGCTGGCGGAGGAGATGCTGGGCCTGGCCAGGAGCCTCAAGAGCAACACGCTGGCCGCCCAGAGCGTCATTAAGAAGGACAACCAGGTGTGAGGGCCGGGGGAACTTCCTAGCCTCTGCCCCGGGACACCAGAGAAGGCTCCCCAGCAGAGGGGCCTCGTGTCCAGGGCTCTCTTGGATGATAGAAGTTTGAAAGAAGGCAGACGTGGACCCCCCAGCAGAGAACATAGTACTAGCAAGGGTCAAGAGGAGCAGACTTGCCCCCAGGCGGCAGGGAGAGGCCACACTTGGCCATAGTCCCATTGACACCTCCCCACCTCGCCCACAGACCCTGTCACACTCCCTCAAGATGGCTGACCAGAACCTGGAGAAGCTGAAGACCGAATCGGAGCGGCTGGAGCAGCACACACAGAAGTCGGTCAACTGGCTGCTCTGGGCCATGCTTATTATCGTCTGCTTCATCTTCATCAGCATGATCCTCTTCATTCGCATCATGCCCAAACTCAAATAAAGACCTGTGCTGGCCCAGCTTGTCTAGCCTCTGTCTGCCCTCCACCCGTGTCCAGGGCTGCCCTTTGGGCTGGACAACAATATGGAGGCTCTTTGCAGGTTCCTGAGAGCCACGGGGAACGCATGACCAGGAGAGAAAGGTCAGTATGGGAGGAGTAGTGACCCAGCAACACCCCCCACTTCAGTCCCTCCGTGGTACCTACCCCACACTGAAAAAGGCCAGGTTCCAAGAAGCCACAGGAGCCCCCGGCTTGTAGGGTCAGAGCCAGGTGCCTTCAGCCTGTCTGGTCGCGGTGAAGCCCGGAGGGTGGGAGGGGAATGGGGCTACCTCTGGACGTCAGCCTGGAGGAGAGAGCATCAGTGCTGGGCCTTGCTTGCGACTGAAGGTGAGAATTCAGAGACAGGACTTAGTCCAGCCACAACCTGAGCTCTCAGGAAACTAGAGAGCCTTCACCAAGCCATTCAACAAACACACAAGGGTCTGTGGGAACTCTGCCCTGCCAAGGACATAGCCTGATCATTTCAGGTGAGAACTGCGTGGGCACTACTCCAGAGTTGGACCCTGGAAGAGGTCATGGAGTGGGAGTCCCAGGAGAACCATCAGTCCTGGGCTCTGCTCACCCTCCCTCCAGATGTCAAAGGTGAAGCCTGTGAAGGAGGTGACCAAGGGAGCTCAGTGAGAGAGTCTGGGCAGGTAACAGGTGCACTAGGATGTTTGTCCCAGGCCTGTGAGAGTGGCCACCGTGGGGATATACATGGAAGTACCCAGGTGGAGGGTCAACGTCAACATGGGTGTAAAAACACCAACTAAAGTTTTTTATAAGCTCTAGTGGCAACTTGCAAAAAATAGATCTTAAGGGGCACCTGGCGGGCTCAGTCTGTAGAGGATGCAACTCTTGGTGTCAGGGTTGTAAGTTCGAGCTCCACTTTGGGTATAGAGCTTACCTAAAGTCTTTGGGAAAAAAAAATCCATCTTAAGAAGGCTCACACAAGATGCAGAAATGGTTTGATAGGAAGTTTGTTAATAGCCACATTCATGCATCAGGAAGCAAAATCAGAGGGTAAAATCGTACTTTGTACTGTAGAGTATCCGTTACTCAATATCCCTCAATAAACAATAAGCAAAAAAATAAATAAAATTTTTAAAAAATAATAATAAGCAATGATAGATATTGCCCTCATTTAACTGCAGAATCTCAAGCCAAAGACAGCACTCAATTTAATGAACAAATACTGGCAATCCTGCCACCAAAGACAGGAGGGTGGAGGGGGATGCCCACAGAATCCACCCAACTCCCCCAGAGGTTTAACATCGTCTGGAAGTGCTGGTCAATTCAACTAGACAAGAAAGAATTGAGATTTAAAAATGAGGACAGGGATGGGATCCCTGGGTGGCACAGCGGTTTGGCGCCTGCCTTTGGCCCAGGGCGCGATCCTGGAGACCCGGGATCGAATCCCACGTCAGGCTCCCGGTGCACGGAGCCTGCTTCTCCCTCTGCCTGTGTCTCTGCCTCTCTCTCTCTCTCTGTATGACTATCGTAAATAAAAAAATAAAAAAAATAAATTTAAAAAAAATAAAAAATAAATAAAAATGAGGACAGGGCAGCCCGGGTGGCTCAGCGGTATAGCGTCACCTTCGGCCTAGGGTGTGGTCCTGGAGACCCAAGATCGAGTCCCATGTCGGGCTCCCTGCATGGAGCCTGCTTCTCCCTCTGCCTCTGTCTCTGCCTCTCTCTCTGTCTCTCATGAATAAATAAGTAAAATCTATAAAATATATATAAATAAATAATTTTTAAAAATGAGGAGAAAGGCAAAGTTAATTTGCAGATGATAGGACTATATGAAAAACTCAAAGTAACTAAAAAAAAGCTATTTAAACCAGAGAATTTAGTAAAACAGCAAGGGCTTAATGAATATTTAGTTTCCTTCATGCGGGGAAAAAAAAAGCTGCAAAATGTATGGGACGATCTCACCTATAGTAGTAAAAGAAGAGATACACTACTTGGTTAAACTACATCCTTGGTATACAAAGAGCTCCCAGAAATCAACAAGAAAAAAAATGTGCAGGAAAAGAAAAACATATCGTCTTTGAACTTTTTCTCTCACCAGATTAGTTAAGATGTAAAACTTCTTGTGGGAAACCGTAATAGCCCTGGAGTTAGAAAAGTGGGGGACTGCCTGGGTGGCTCAGCAGTTGAGCATCTGCCTTTGGCCCAGGGCATGATCCTGGAGACCCAGGATGGAGTCCCACATGGGGTTCCCTGCATGGAGCCTGCTTCTCCCTCTGCCTGTGTTTCTGCCTCTCTCTCTGTGTCTCTCATGAATAAATAAATAAAATCTTTAAAAAATTTTAAAAAGTGGGACAACCAGAGTTTCTCTCATATTTTTAAAATATAGTTTTTGGGGATCCCTGGGTGGCTCAGCGGTTTAGCGCCTGCCTTTGGCCCAGGGCGCGATCCTGAAGTCCCGGGACAGAGTCCCGCGTCGGGCTCCCTGCATGGAGCCTGCTTCTCCCTCTGCCTGTGTCTCTGCCTCTCTCTCCCCCTATGTCTATCATGAATAAATAAATAATCTTAAAAAAATAAAATATAATTTTTGAGTAAATAGATAAGTACAAGTTTTTTTTAATAAATTTATTTTTTATTGGTGTTCAATTTGCCAACATACAGAATAACACCCAGTGCTCATGCCGTCAAGTGCCCCCCTCAGTGCCCGCCACCCGATAAGTACAAGTTTGCTAAAACCACTGGTTTTTCAGGCCAAAAAAACAAAAACAAACACTGAGGGTCAGAGAAGGTGAGCGGCCAGCTCCAAGCACCAGCAGGTCAGGTTCCCACTTCCCTTACCGCGGGGTGCCGCCCCCTCCCCGCCAGCCCCGCCCAGCCGCGCTAGGCCCCGCCCCACCCTGTGGAGCGACCCCGCCAGTTGGGTCCAACCTTTGAAGTTAAAGCACAACCTGGACTCGGGCGCGTCTCTGGGAGCGGACCCAGGTTCGGAGACCCGGACGCTGGGACAGGTAACCCCGGACGGGAGCCGTCCGTGCGGCCGGCAGCTGGGGCGGAGGTCCCGGGGGGCTTCCCGGGGGTGGTGTCCGCGGGCTTCACGCGCCCTAAGCAGGCGAGGCTGCAGCAGCGCGGGGGTTAACTGGAGGCGGGGCCCACCCGGGATGCGCGCTGACGTCACGGGCGTAGCGCCTTTCCGGGTTGCGCCGCCGGGGGCGGGCTGCTGTGTGAGCCAATCGGGTGCGTGTATGCAAATGACGGAGTGGGCGGTGGCGGCCGGTGCGCGGCTCCGGGGTCCGTCCCCCGGTGCTCCCGCGGCCCCGCCCGCCCCAGGCGCGCGCCTCTCCGGCTCCGCAGGCCGCTCGCCGACCGCCCCCGCCACGCGCGGGCCACGGCGCCCCCCGCAGGACCAGCTCGCCGCCCCGGGGACGCCCCACCGGCGCCTCGCCGAAGCCGATGCCCACCCGGGAGCCGCCCAAGCCCCGCGGCCACCGTGGGGACCTGCAGACCCGCCCGCCCGGCCCTGGGCCCCCGGTGAGTCGGGGCAGGAGGGCGCCCAGGTGTGGGGGGCCGTGGCTTCCCCACCCTGGTTACCGAGGGGGCGGCACCCCGCGGCAAGGCAAGTGGGGAACCTGATTCCTGCGGCACCTGCAGCGACTGGTGCCCCCAGGCCGGGAAGCCAGCGCCCCCCGCGCTCTGTGCGAGCCTCAACTAGGAGCCCCCAGGGCAAGGCCCAAGAAGATTGTATTTGAGGATGAGCTGCCCTCCCGGGCCCTCTTGAGCACCAGGAAGCCTATCGAAGCCATCCCCAGGGGGCACACGCCAAGGCCCCAGCCAGTGCCCGACTATGAGCTGTGAGTGTCCCCCCACTTTGTTCCTGATGCCTGGGAACAGGGAAGGGGCATAGAGGCTGGGGTTCGACAAATGTATAAGAGTTTACCGAATAGTAAAAAGAGAAAAGGGGCTTTTGGGGCCGGGAGTCCAACATGGGCAAAGTAAAACAAATTAAACTGATTAAACTGATTGGGGGAAGGGTCGGGCTCTTCCCACTCCCGCTCTGACCCACTTGAACCCCGCAGGAAGTACCCACAAGTGAGCAGTGAGAGGGAACGCAGCCGCTACGCTGCGGTGTTCCAGGACCAGTACACAGAGTTCTTGGAGCTCCAGCAGGAGGTGGGCTCGGCCCTGGCAAAACTCCAGCAGCTGGAGACCTTGCTGAACTCACTGCCCAGGCCCCGAAGCCAGGTCAGCCCCAGCAGACACCCCTGGCCCACAGCCCTTCCAGGTGGTGGACCCTGGGCTCCGGGACCCCCTCTGGGTCCAGGTCTCTGGGCCCCTTCCTCTTCTGGGCTGGTTGGGCACCACAGCATAGTAACCAGGGTCAGCCCTGGAAGTCTGCACCCCCGGGTCACTTTGTCTGAGCCTCAGTTTCCCCATCCATCCTTGAGTTCAGAATCCTCTGAGCACCCCCAACCCCTTCTCTACTCACAGAAGGAAGCCAACGTTGCCGCCCGCGTCTGGAGGGAATTTGAGAAGAAGCAGACGGTGAGTTGTGCCCCCGAGCCCCACAGGCCCGCCTTTGCACACCCCATCCTCCCAAGAGGCTCAGTGAGCCCAGTTTCAAGGAGAGGAAACTGAGGTCCAAAGAGGAAGATGTGAAGGGTTGAGCCTCCGAGGGCCAGAGGCCAAAGCACCACAAGGACTCTCCCGGGTCTTGCCCTGCCCAGGACCCCAGCTTCCTGGACAAGCAGGCTCGCTGCCACTACCTGAAGGGCAAACTCAGGCACCTCAAGATGCAGATCCAGAAGTTCGATGAGCAAGGAGACTGCGAGGGCTCTGTGTACTTCTGAGCGCCCTGGAGGACAGGCGGAAGGACACCACGGGGTGGCCCCCTTGCCCTGTACTTGCCTCTCTTACTACCTCCTGGCTCTAGCTCCTTCTGTTACCCCTTCCTGGGGTAGCTTTGGCAAATGCCTCAGCCTTTGAGACCCAGCTCGAATGGCACCTCCTCCAGGAAGCCTTCCCAGAACCTCCACAGGGACCACTGGCCCTGAGCCCAGATCTCAGCCCATCCCCTGGAAGCAGGTCTTGCCTGAGTCTGTGTCTCGGTGCAGTAAATATTTATGAAATGCCTACTGTGTACAGCCGCTTAACACTCCTGATTTCACTCAGTTGGCACCAAAAAGTTGTTCTTCCATCTAATGGAGTTAAAAATCAAAATTCCAGGAAAGCGACTTATCCACACAGGGTGTGAACTCTGGTCTGTCCAGAGGGCCCCCTCTCCACCAAGAGCCATCATGTGACCTGGATGCTGAGGGGCCGACATCCAGCATTACTTGCTCAGCCAGGCTTGGGCTGGGGGAGCTCCAGGGCCCAACAGTTTCCAGTAACCGGGGCACCTGGGTGGCTGTCAGTTGAGCATCTGACTTTTTTTTTTAAGGAGATAGTGTACCTGCTTCAAGATTTTATTTATTCATGAGAGACACAGAGAGAGAGGCAGAGACATACGCAGAGGGAGAAGCAGGCTTCCCCCAGGGAGCCCGATGCAAGACTTGACCCCAGGACTCCAGGATCCCACCCTGAGCCGAAGGCAGACACAACCGCTGAGCCACCCAGGCATCCTGAGCATCTGACTCTTGATTTCGGTTTGAGTCATGGTCTCGGGCCCCAGGCTCTGCTGAGAGTCCACTTCTCCCTCTCCCTCTGCCCCTCCCCCTGCTGACAAGCGTGTGCTCTCTCTTTCTCTAAAATAACTAAATAAATCTTTTTTCAAGTTTCCAGCAACAGGACTGTAGAGGATCCTCCCTAGTCTTGCTCAGTGGGCATCACGCAAAATTCATGTGACATAATGCTGGGGACCTCCTGAAGGGGTCAGACTCAGCCCAGGGGCCCTGCTGGAGTCCCTGAGGCCCACCCAGATAAATGAGCCCTTAAAAATCTCCACTTCTGGGATGCCTGGGTGGCTCTGCACTCAGGCCTAGACAGGCATCCAAGTCTCTGGCCTGGGGACTGGACAGCAGGACAGACAGGATGGTCTGCTCAGTTCCCAGATGTGCTAGGAATCTAAGAGGTCATCACTGTCCCACCCAATTGGAGGGGACATACATTTGCTTCCCCAGAGGACACTGTGGAAGGTGCTGACTCAGGGCAGTCTGCATTCCAATGGGAGCCCAGTATCCTCTCAATCCCATTCCTACTTTAGGCCCTGCTGGGGGGCAGAGCACACCCCTGAGACCCTCCTATTCATTCCACAGGAAGTGGATTCAAATGCCCAGTCTTCCCTCTCAGGCCTCTTCCAAGATGGACATGGAAGAGGCTGGGTGCTCATGGGGAACATTTTGGAGGGTTAAGGGCTGAGCACAGGCCAGCCTGTGGGGCAATACCTGAGTTCTGTCCCATAGATGCCTTTCCCATCAGAGACGCCAGGATGGTGGGGCCCTGCCTCCCCCCAAATCAACTTAATTGGGTCCCCATTTCAGCTGATCCTTAGCTGTCCTTACCTGTCCCACAGTCCAGATCCCAATCTCTGAAATGGGAGGTTTTATTAGTTACATGTGAGAGGAAACCAAACAGGCTCAGGCACAAAAGGGTAAATCTGGGATCATGAGACTGAAGCACCCAAAGGTTTTGGATATGACAGGCTCCAGGGACTCCAAAGGCATCCTGGGAAGTTGGTCTACCTATTTTGACTCCTTTTTATTTTATATATCTGTCAGAGAGCAAGTGAGCACACACACAAGCGGGGGGGGGGGGGCAGGCAGGCAGAGGGAAAGGGAGAAGCAGGCTCCCACCTGAGCAAGGAACCCCATGCCAGACTCCATCCCAGGACCCTGGGATCACGACCCGAGCCGAAGCCAGATGCTCAGTCAGCTGAGCCAGCCAGGCGCCCCTTGGCTCTGTTTTCAGCTCCATCCTCCTAGTTCCAGATCCCGCCGAGTCTCAGTGGCCAGCTCTGGGCTGCGTGCCCTCCCTGAACCCATCCCTGTGGCCAAGGGAATGGAGGGCTGTGTCTGGGGTGAGATCATGTGGCAAGAACTACACGGAATGTTTCTCCAGAGGACACTGGGGCCCAGACACCATGATCAAGGGCTGACCAAAGGGAATAGGGTGTTTGGTCCGGGGCACGTGTGCATCTATGAGGCTCACCGTCATAGCCCAGAGCTTGAACCTGAACCTGAGCCATCTGCAGGATGCCACCCACCCCTGCAGACTCACTAGCTGACTGCAGGGCCCCCTCCCTGCCCCCAGCCGTTTCCCCACAAAAGCAGCAAGGCAGGCTGTTGTGTGAGGTTGTGGGTGTTCCAGATGGCTGGGGGTGGGCAGCCATGGTAGGGTGCCCCCCCCATCCTGCCCTCCCCTCACAAAGATGATGGGGGCCGTGCAGGTAGGAAACGTCTTTATTATTGGCCTTGATTCATTCCTCATGTAGTGTCCATGGATTACGTGTCCAGAGGATCTGCCTGGCAAATACTACCCCTGCCTGGCTGCAGCTGCCCCTCGAGCCCAGACACCAGGCCTTTGTCTGTCACACAAGGGAAGCCAACCCCACCATCCCAAGAGCTTACGCTTGGGGTGCCCGGCTCCAGGCTGCCCCAGAAATGAACTGGACCATCGGTCCCTCCCCCTCTATTTTGGCCAGGAGTCCTGGGGAGGCCGAGGCTGGAGTCTGGACAAGCACTCTCTTTTTGGTTTCATGATCATTTAAAAAACAGAGAAGACAAACATTTCACAGTCTTTAAAAAATAGTAGGAGTCTGGTGAGAGAAGCCAAGGTCCTCCACTCGGGGGGGCCCCCCGTGAGGCCGACACATCCAGGTCCCGTGGGGTCACTGGCCTGAGCCATAGGGCCAGTTGAAGGTACTTCCCGACAGCAGCATGTCTCGGATCAGCGTCTCAATGGGCGTCTTGCCCACCAGGCGCATGAAGAACAGCTGGGAGATGAGGGAGGCAGGGACTGCGCGCAGGGCGGGGAGTCGCAGCAGCAGGCGACCGAAACGCTGGGGCTGGGACGGGTACTGAGCCCGCACGTACTCAGTAAGGGCCACCTGTGCCTTTTCCTGCAGGCTTTCCACATGTGCTGGGTCCGAGAGGCCGCAGGCATCTGGGGAGACAGGGCAGGGTCAGGAGGGTGGGGGAGGTGGGAGGACACCAAGCCCCCCACTCAGGGCTCCGGGTGCTGGGAAATGGAGTCCTGAGGCACAAATGGGGTCCTCTCAGGCAGTGTCAGTCCTCGAGAGACTGAGGTGGCCCCAACTGAGGATAGTGACACAAGAGTGTGGACACTGGTGTCTCCAGGACAGGGGAGCCCCAGCTGAGGCCTTGGGCAAGGTGACAAGTTCTAATCAAGCTCAAGGGGAAGAGGAACTAGGGAGGGGACTCGAGGAGTAAGGCAAAGCCAGAGGGGGTGTTCAGCCAGAGTGGCCTGGAGTGGGAGACCCATGAAGGGTGGGGCAGAAGAAGAATCTTCTGGGGGCAAGAGGCACAAAGCCGCACTTATCAAGTGAAAGCCACCTCTCAGAGTGGCCTGCGTCTCATTCCTGCATCCCTGGCCCCAAGAAGACCCCTAGTGGGATCTGGAACCTTCCAGATGCAGAACCAGCTGCGCCACCAGTCTCTGGAGTGAGGTAGGGCATTCAGTGGCTAGGTGGTTAACTAAAGACTAGGAAGGTCCTGGCCGGCCCCGCCCACAGCGGGAGGGACTCCAAGACCCGCCCCTGCCCCGTCCCACGCGGCCCAGCTGCCAGAAGGCTAACTAGGGGGCGTTTGGGGAGCCCTGGGTCAAAAGTCTGGGGGCCCAGGAATCAGGGAGTGGAAAGCTCAAGGGGGGCCAGAACCAGGTGTCAGGGTATCCCCGCCTGGCAGGCGTCTGTAACTGCGCAGTAAGCAGGAAGGCCTGAGTCGGCAGAGGAGGGTCAGGGGTGTTGGGGAAGACGAAGATGGGGGACCAGGTGGTCAGGGACCTCCCCTCCCTCATCCTCCGCCTCTCGATCTGCTCACTGAGCACCAAGGGCACCCTGATGAGGGGGTAGAGGCTGGGGTCTCAGGAAGCCTGGGAATCCGGGAGAGAGGCTGTTGGGTGACCTGAGCCACGCGTCCAGGCCCAGCTGTGGGTCTGGAGAGCAGGGCTCAGGGTTCTTAGGGAGCCCTGGGATCAGGCGTTGGGGGCATCAGGGCGTCACACCGCCTGTCTCTCCTCCACTGGCCCCGCAGCAGCGCCAGGCCCGCAGGCTGAGGGTCAGGGAGGGGGGGTCCTCTGGGGGCCGGGGTCAGGGTCCAGGTCGCCCCCCACCGCCACCCCCATCCCGCCCCCGCGTCCTGGGAGACAGACACACACGGACACGGACACGGACACGGACACACGCGCGGCGCATCTCACCGGGCGTGAAGAGCGCGATGGCCTTGAGGCAGCCGTACTCGGCCGAGTCGACCTGCAGGCGGCCCAGCTTGTCCACCTGCTCCTGGAAGGCGCGCACCTGGTCCATGAAGGCCACGGCGCGCTCGGCGGCCATGGGCGCGGCGTGCAGCCCGGCGGCGGCCAGCAGCGGCGCCGTGTGCAGGGGCAGCGCCGCCTGCGCCGCGTTCAGCACGAAGAGCTCGCTCCAGCTGAGGCGCAGCAGCGCCACCTGGTCGGCCACCGGCAGCTCGGGGAAGAAGGGCGCGTGGCGCGCCCACTCCACGGTGCTGAAGAGCAGCCGCGCCGCCAGCTCGCACACGTTGTCGATGCCCAGCACCGCGCCCGCCGCGCCGCCCCCCGCGCCGAACGCGCCCGCCGCGCCCGCCCCGAAGCGCCCGGCCGCCGCGGGGTAGGGCTCGGCGCGCAGCAGCTGCGCGATCAGCTCCGACACCGGCTGCCCCGGGAAGAGGTCTCCGCCCGCCGCCGCCGCCAGCGCCGAGCCCGGGGGGCTGCCCGAGGACGCGGCCACGGCGCCCGGCAGCGAGTGCGGGATGCGGCCGCGCTGCACCGCTGGGGGGCGGAAGGGGGACGCGGAGGGGGCGGGGGAAGGGGGCAGGCGGGTGACGAACACGGGGTGCGGGACAGGGATTGAGGGACACGGGGAGAGACACCAGAGAGGAGCGAGGGAGGTGGCAGGGAGAGGGAGGGACGGAACAAGGGGGAAAGTGGGTAGGCGTGGG